ATCCCTTACTTGTAAAGTTCCTGAGCAGCACATAGGGAGCTCAGCTTCCCAACAATGATGGCAATCAACAGGGTTTCTGAGTAGCTGAAATCTAGGCTCTACCTTAGGGGCTTTTACAATGGGAACAGAAAATACACTAATACAAGTTAACCCTCAGGCAGGTCTGAAGTGCTTGATTTAATTTCCTCTCAGTCTTCTTTACTTAGCAGAACAAGGTTATTGCCTATTGAAATGAAGTATAATTTAAAGTAAGACAAATGCAAAAAAATTTACCCAGTTTTAAATGAGGAGAAAGTAGGCCAGAGTCTCCTAGGGTAGAGAGCTTCCTGGAACACCAGATGTTTCAGAAGCCACATTGCATGTCTGACTAATCCTTGATAAGAGACCCTTCACCTTGTAGCACTTACCCCATAGCACAGGCATAACAAATTCATGCTGAGTGATAGACAACAACCACAATTAATATTTATTGACCATTAAATATTTAGCAGGCACACTTTGAAGTACTATAGATCCATTTTATCATTTAACCCCCATACACACAAAAAAACTAAACTAAGTAATATCTCCATTTGAAAGACAAGGAAACTGAGGCTTGGAGAGCTTTAGTTACCTGACCAAGGACACACAGTAGGTAAGTGGCAGAACCAGGGCAGAAACTTAGGTTTATCTTATACCACACTCCATGTTTTTAACCACTAACTGTACAAAGACCATTGTTTATTTAGAATTCATTAATATAACCATTTTTACTTAAGTGGTTTCACATCACTGTGATCTCATAGCGAGCTACACATATCTTTTTCACGGTACTAACTAAATTGTACAGATTAGCTCTTTATCCTCTCTAGTAGACCTATTTGGGCATATATGCCCACTTGACTCAGCCCTGTATTGAGAACTGCTCCAAGATTCCAATGGGTCACTTCCCAGAAAGCAACATTTGTATTACTGAACTTACTTCCTGGTTTTAGCTGATAGGACCAGTGGTAGACATCTGACTCAGGATTGGAAAATTATTCTGTCTCCTTGGAATTTAGAGAGGGCATAGAAAAATATAAAGTTTACCCCAAACAGAAGAAATATAAACTGGAGAATTCTATAGGGTTTTATGCTCATCTTGTGGATGGAGATTTAGAGAAAGTCAATCTGCAGAGACAGGACTAAAAAAAAGATGGATCTAAAAGCAAGAGGCAAAGTCCAGGTACTTCTTTTGATCTAGTCCCTTCTTGTGGTCTAGCCATATTCTTACCCTGGTGCCAAGAAGCATTCTCATGCCCTTTTCCTTTTAATAAATTTGGTTTTTTGTTTAAGCTACCTCAGGTTAGTTTTTCTTACCTGCAATAACAATAAATAATAATAAACAATCCTAATTAATAGAGCATCAATCTCTCCCAGAAGACTATAGATTCTTTGAGGTTGGGGACAATGTATTTATTGGTCATCTTTTATATATCCCCAGTATCCAATACAGAGCCAGGCAAAAGAGTAGATAATCAATTAATACTGTTTGCATAGAAATATCATTATCAATAAGAGTATAGTTATAAATAATTTATTTAAAATTTGTCCTTTATTGGTTAGAAATTACAAATCATTTTCTTCTACTATTTCCCTCCATTTAGCTTCTTGATAAGCAATTCACTTTCACTTTTTATAATCCAAGTGTTTCATTTAGGCCGTATGTGAAAAACATATTCTTGGAAGTTTATTATTCAAATTTAGCAGCTGATATAGTTTTTTTTCCTCTAGCCTAATGTATAGTCAAATTTAATTATTGAGGAATACCCTAATCACTTAGGTTGATGCTCAAGTAGGACTGCCAAATCCTTCTAAGAAACACCCATTATATCACCTGTCAGACGCAGAGTTGTGGGTTAGACGACCAGGGAATTGACCAACTGCGGCATTTCTATCTTTGAAGGATCAGAGAAGATCTACAAGAATATATTATCTCTCAGTTTTAATTTTTCCCCTCAGAACAATGCACATTTTTCATTTATTTAGTGCCTATTGTGCTCCAGATCCAGTGGCTAAGTATTGAAGCTAAAACAGTGAATAAACCAGGCTCTATTTTCAAGTAGCTTCCTGCTAGTAGTTATTAAAAACTCTTGTGAGGATAAAAAACACATAACTGAAGTACCAACCTATAATGAATAATAATGTCAGTAGTAAGGTCAGATGGGAGTGGAGAAGGGGTAAAATGAAAAGGCATTATGAAAGATATTAAAGTGTCCTGCTCACAGGCCTCAAGATAAAGGTAGATTGAGTACAACTGCATGTTCCTTTATAGACCGTTAAGCATCACTTAAAAACAAAGGGTTTACTTAATCTTAGGACAAATTTGAGTGAATGGGAACAAAGTACATTAGTGTTCTGATTGCCCTGTGAAAGCCAAGAAATCCAGATTACTTTCTGTGACCTGATGCTCTCTGTGCCATGTTTCAGGCCTCTCAGTCCAAGCGTTTCAGTGCTGAAATTGAGGGTAATTTATTTTAATTCTTCATGACTTATAGCATGTTGGAAACTTAAATTCAATTAAGGGTGCCCAAATAGAGTTTATGAAAATAAGAAAAAATATTTTGAAAATCTTGACCAATTAATACAATGAAAAAAAAAACCAAGTCCTTATGGACACAATTTTGGAAATCTAAGTAGAAAATCCATGTCATAATTTCCTAGATGGAGAGAGTTGAAAGCATCTTTGAAATCTTGTCTCTGAATCTTTCTCAGTTGAACAATTAGCCCAAATTAACAATTCCCCTATTTTTACTTTTCACCAATAGGAGTGAAGCTTAAATCAGTCTAAGCTGGTCCAGGTTATTGTGCCCATTACCTCATCAATAATCTAAAATTCAGAATGTATAGAAAGACAGAAACAAAATAAAATGTCATTGACACTGAGGCACAGGGATGGGATGGCATAGAGTCTCATGCAGTGAAATACATAAACCCTACAAATTTTAAGCCATTTCACTAATTTCATATATAGAATATGTAAACTCAAAATAATAAAATAAATGCCCTGCTGGGCATGATTTCATGAATAGCAAAATAAATGGGAAATAAATAGCTACATTTGCACATAAACATTAAGTCAATTCATTGAAAACAACTTATTCCTTCAAAATAACATGCTTTGAGAAAAACCATTTACACTCTTATCTCAACTCAAACCTCCTCTGCAAGAATCTATGCAAATGTTGAAGGCAGGTCAAGTCTGGTTATCACTGATTGAAAATTTATGGAATACAAACTGGTGAATTCTTCTTTTATGTCATAAATAAAATTGTAAATTGTATATTCCTAATTGAGAATTAGTAGTAAAAGTCAGAGTAAGACTTACAGAACTGTAACTGCACAAAGAAAAGTTCAACTTCATGTCTTATATGTGATCCAAGGGAGGAAAAAATGGCTATTTGGAAAACAATCAATTGCATTTAGCTAACTGTTTCCTGAATTGCTGTTTTAACACTTCCTTCTATGTAAAATGTAGATAAAAATAGAATCCATTTCACAGAGTGGTCGGTCATGAGGATAAAATGAGATAAAGATATTATTACAAAAGTGTATTTGGTAACTGTGAAGTGCTGATCAATAATAATAGTGAACATTCATATTGTACATTTATGTTGGAAGTAGTATTCTAAACCTTTATATACATTAATTCATTCAATCATCACAAAATCCTAGAGGTAGATATTAATATTATCATTAAACTACAAATAATGAAATTCAGTTGCAAAATCTTTATATAACTTTCCCAGGGTCACATAGCTGGGATTTAAACCTAGGCTGTCTGGCTCCACAGTGCAAACTTTTAATCACTATCCTCTACTGCTTCTCATAAGTTGAAATAATTTCCAGAGGTGCCCATTGGGCCAACAGAGGCTTGAAGTTAAGAACTAGCTTTTAGCAGACTGGGTCATACTCATAGGTTTTTCTTGGCAGCCCAGCCCAATTTTGTGGTGCCCTATCCAGTTTTAAAATAAACCATAAGGAAAATAAACCTGTAAGGAAGAGAAACGATGCATGTACATCACTCCTGATTCTTCCAACTCTGTTTCAGTAAAAATGTTAGATGATCAAGGTACATGGCTTATTAAACTGAAATTCAAATGAAACTGAACAGCCCCAAATATTCCTGAAAGTCCCTAATGTATCTAAGGGAGATGGCTCATTAAGACAAGACAGTGGGTCACCTGGGTGAGCAGTTCTCATGGAGGGACTGGGGAAGGATAATATGCCTTTAGATGAAGCTGATTCTGATAGATCTTCCCTGTGATCCTTATCTACCAGCCTCCTAACAATTTTGAGTTATTGCCCTGTGGTCAGATGTGAGGATCCCCCTCTGCAGAGTGTTGATTCCATCAAAATAATTTATAAATATTGCTCTTGGTATCACTCTACAAAGGGGTAAAGCCCAATGAGCACAATTGAAACAAAAGTACAAGGACATCAATTTCCTCTCACTGAGGAATGACACAGTATACATACAGGTTTACAGAAAAGAATGAACATTTCTTTCATTTAAAGGTGTTATTTATAATTGATGGCATTAATATAGTGTGATTATAAAGCCAAGTCAGAGCAGCTGTAGGAAAAGAACCAAGGCAATTTGGTAGGAGACATTGTAAAGTTAGGACAGTATGTAAATTCACAGCTAGGGCCATGCAAAAAATTGTAGATAATGCAGGAAGTCATGAGGCAAAACCCTACACAACCTGATTTAAATTTATGTCCCCCCCATCTTCCACCTTAAATCTTGCTTTTCCTTCTCCCCAGCACGTGCCTCACCCCTTCTTCACCACCAATAAACATACATGAACTTTTCCAGAAGAAAGCAAACCAATAAAATGCCAAGTATCTAATCTTTGATGGGTTAATTACGCAGGCCTGTGTGTTATTTTGCAGAAGGGCAGGGTTCTATTTTGTGAGGTGGCTGTAAGAGATGGGGTGAGGTAAAAATAATTGATGGTCAAATATTGGTAAACACTTGCCTTGAGTAGACCCAGCTTGAGCTTCCATGTCACAACAAACAGGAGAGAATTTAAAACCTGTAATATCAAACATTTTACTAATTAATCCTTGTCTAAGTCATCTGGGAATTCTTCAATCTTTAACCCTTATCCTATATCCAGTAGTATTTTTTAATAACACATTCAATGAAATATGATTCACATACCATAATGTTCACCCTCTTCAAGTGTACAATTCAGTGGTTTTTAGTATTTTCACAGAGCTGTGCAATCATCACCACTATCTAATACCAGAACAGTTTCATCAACCCAAAAGAAACCCCATACCTTGAGAAGCGCAGAAGTAGGAGATTGGTAGTGTCCTATGGGGAAAAATATTTCCTTTATTTTAATGTTTCAATCCAGTGCACTGGCTATAACTTCCATGCCAGGCATGAGATGAAGGAGAATGAAAAGTCTTAACAATATAAGAGATCATCTACCACCCTATTTCACGTAAATTAGGCTACTATTTTTCCTGTTTGACAGTTGAAGCCCATGAAAACTATAGCAACCAGTCCAAGGTCTCCTAACTTGCATCCTAATACTCTTATATGGATATGTATACATAGATTTAATATATTCCCTTCTGATATCCATACTTCTCTGCCTATGTTCTTGGCCAAAGATAGCAATTCATACTCAAAAATAAACTCAAAGAAATCAAGACCCCAATGATACTTGGTAACATTACAAAGTATTATGGCCTGCCTTTTAGGGAATGATATTCTAACTAGTAGGCAAATGGTCATTCTTGATTATATCCTAGGTTCAGTATCCCCTATGGGCTGAAGGATACAGAGGACCGACTAAAAAAATCTTCATGTACAGGGCTGTTGGCTGCCTTTCTTCAACCTGAGAAAATACTAATTAGCCACTGCTACCTGACCAGGCCTTGTGGTCATGGTGATGGGGTCCTATCAAATTTACATAAACAAAATGGCAAACAGAATAGACTAATGTGTTTAATAAGCATTAATGTTTTATGAAAGGATTTTGTTCTTCGATAGGAACAGAAGAGCAGAAATAAAATGAACTAACCTTTTCCCAACAAATAAAAAAGATAAAATGTTTCCATTTCTAAAAGTTGTAAGAAAATAATATATAATTACTATTTAATGATACTGCTATTATTACTTATGTCTGGCAAATGAATGATGTTAATTCACCTTTTGTGTTTTTTAAATCATTTCAGTCTAACCTGATTAATTTGAATCTGTCTGTACACTTCACAAGTTAATCTGAATCAAAATAGAAAGCATGTCCAGAATATGCTTGCTATACAATTGTTCATCTTGTTATTCATATATTGATATAAAGCCAATCTACGTGAAATGAGCACTTTCTGTAATAAATTCCATTAGTATTGCACGGAAAAGATGAAAATAAAAGGTAAGTAATAAATAACACATGTACAATATTGCTGACTAAATGAGATATTTTTCCCTTGGGGGATCACCAGAAATAAAAAGTATTTTGTATATCATTGTAAACAAATGTGTCTATTTGTCAGATCTAGGTACATGCCTTGTCCATAGGACCCTGCTAACTTGCGTTTTCATTCTGCATATTAAATGAAAAAACAGGCAGATGTAGGAAAGGTAAACAAACTAAAGGCTAAAAACTGCATTCGTTCTGGGTTTCACTTAAAATATATAGACAGTTCTATTACCATTTTCCCCATCAGACTTCCTTTCATGGTCAGTGTCAGTCAGGGACAATGCAGAGTTGGCTCGGCTGGACAAACAGGAACTATGCTCTGATTTCATCCCCCTTATCCACATTCTTAGCGCATGGTCAGGTGAGGCAGCGCCTTCTGTCTCTGTATCCACATCAGATCCCATCTCTAGCTGGTAGCCGTGCCGAGAAACACTGTGCATGTCTGTCTGGTAGCCAGAGCAGAGAGTGTGAGGAGTTTCACAGAATCCCATCTCTGAGAAGAAATAACGTTCAGAGAAAAAGTTTAGCAGTATGAAGAAATACCCAATAAAATTCCATTTTTTTGTCCCCATGTACCCCCTTCCCCATTGCTAGTAATTATGTGTTTTTGCGAAGTTAGAATTCTAGCCTTTTTATTTATGGCAGCTAGGATTCTGTGCTTATTTTGCACTTCTGTAGCTTAAAATTATGCTCCTGTTGATTCTTACATGTTCTGGAAAAAACATGCCCAAAATAGCTCTATAGCTACAATTTTAGGTTGCATAAAATGTAATGAAATAAGTGAGTGCAGAGAAGTATAAAGTGTAGAAAGCTGTACTTTAAAAGACACTGCTCTTCCAGAAAGAATATATATGCTCTGTAGAGCACACATATGCTTAAAATATTAAAATTATTGGCTTTTCTAAGCATTTAATACACATTAGAGTTAAGAATAATCCAATGTGAACACTCTGAGAACAAAATATTGTTTAAATACACTTTTCTAAAGTATTTTTCCTAAAACACATTAATCTCACCTCCAAAATTATAAGTACTTAACATCATTATTTCCCATTGTCTCCAAATGAGTTTAAGGTCACTTTATGCTAATTATCCTATTTCATTCATTCTTTCAACAAATACATAAAAAATATTCAATTGTATATTGAACTTCAGCAGTGCTTCATGATTTGGATTTTCCATCCTTTCCCTCCAAGCCTTAGAGTCATAAAATGTTTAGGGTCTTAGAGATGTTGTCATTAGTGTCATCAGTTGTACTGTCATGGCTGCCTCACTGTCCTGAATCATTTTGACTCTGGGGAAGTGCTAGAAGTCACGTGGTGCCAGATACAGTTAATAAGTTGGATGAGAACACATCATAGTGTTTTTATTTGACAGCAATTGACATACATGAAATGTGTGACATGGAGCATTGTCGTGATGGAGGATGATTTACGGCATACTTTAAAACACACCTTCTCTGAACCGTAGCTCACACCCGACTGACTGCAAAAAACAAGTTGAAACTTGTCACACACTGTTACTAAGGTTCAATGGGCCGCTTCCCATATTGAAGATCCCTGCCTTTCTGTTGGATGGCACTTGTCAGCAGCATTCAACATATGTTGTGATCACAACAGAAAGCCTCCCTGTCACATATTGCTTCTGATATGGCAATTTCTGTTAAACAAAGACATTATGGTGTGTCCTCATCCAATTTAGTCACTGGATCTAGCACTGTGCAACTTCTGGCTCTTCCCCAAAGTCAACATGACCATGAAAGATAAATGATTTGAATAAATTCAGGACATCAAGACAGCCAAGACAGTGCAACTAAAGACACCCATGAAAGAGGATTTCCAGAACTGCTTCAGAAAGTGGCAAGGATGATGGAATAAGTGTGTTTGAAGCAAGGGGGAGTATTTTGAAGGAGATTAATGGCAATGTGTCTTTTACTGTAATTTTTTAAAAATTTAAACATTCACTGTATTTTTATCACACCTCATAATTAGGAAATCCACTTTCAATAGCACAAACTTGCCTTTATTTCACTCATGCAATGGCATGTGAGATGTGACTTTCCAAAGATTTTAATATGAGCATCTGAGTAAATAAACTCATTGGAAAAGGATCAGCAAACAAAAATAAACACACAGCTAATTTGTTATTCTATATAATAAAATACTAGGTAAAGTTAAAAAAGATCACTAGAAGGTGTAACCAGAGTCCCTCTTTGTTAAAGAGATTTCATTCTCACTCAAAAATAAAATTTGAGGGCCGGCCGAGTGGCGCATTGGTTAAGAGCTGGCTAGGGATGCCAGAGGGCCCCGGTTCAGATTCCACATATGAGGGCCAGTGACACTGCTCTCTACAGCTAAGATGCTGAACAACAGCTCAAACTGGAGCTGGGCTGCCGTGAGTCACCAGAGACAGTGTAGGCTGCATCCACTGCTGCAGTGGGTTGCCATGTGCTACCGTGTATAGCCAGCAGCCAGCGTGAGTGGCCATCCAGAAGCCGGCGACTGATCTGCCTTGCCCGGGAAGAGCGCAATGATGGTGCCAACTTGGGCCAGTGAAGCAACGTCCTCCACAAATAGACTGAAGAACAAAAGGACAGCAACTTATCTGTTCCCCTTCCCCCAATTCCCCAATAAAAATCTTTTTACAAAAAATAAATTAAAAAAAAAATTGAAAATGGACTTGTTCCCTTCTAAGGAAATGTGGTACAATGTGATAAAAAAATTACATAAGATATTTATTGGAACTATACCCTGATTTGAATACAAAGACTAAACCATAAATTCTGTAATTAAATAGTCACATAAAAATACACATCCATGTCAATATATAATTAGAAATAAAATAAAGAAAAAAAAAGTTTCACTTATTTACTGTAAGTGATGTTCATTGAACTGCCTCACTTCCCTTTCTTGAAATCATTGTACAATTGTAAATTATTTCCTTATATACACAAAAATCTTGGTAGTGTTCAAAATTCCCATAGCATGCATTTTTCTAGAAAGCACTTATGCACATTACATGGTTGTTTTTAGCTTTTCACATATTACATCATTGTTACTTAAAATACTACATATTCCATAGGGAAGATAAAAGTTCAATTGGATTTATTATAGATCTATTCTTACCAAAATGCTAGCCACAAGAGAAATGTAAGTACAATCTAAGACATATACAATTTAAATGGATACACTAGTATCATGAGAAACTACATTTCAGGAATAAACAGATACAGATGTTCTTAAGTGAATGACGTATTTGGGGCCTCACAGCCATGTATTTAATTTTTATTGTAAGAAAAACCTATTTTGAAGCCTTGCAAGAGACTAAATATGAGCACATTAATGAAGTCAAAATCCAAATTTTAAAATGGGCAAAAGATTTGAAGAGATACATTACACACACACACATACACACACACACACAAACACACACACACACATAGAGGAATGACCAATAAGCAAATAAAAAAGGTGCTCAATATCACCAGTTTCAGGAAAACACAAACTAAAATCACAATGAGATGCCACTATAGACCTTCCAGAATGGCTACAAAATTTCTGACCACAGCAAGTGTTGACAAGGATGTGGAGTAACTATATACATTGCAGGTAAGACAGCAAAAATGGTACAGCCACTTTGGAAAATAGTTTGGTAGGTTCCTAAAAAGGTAAAGCTGTACTTAACAGGAGAGCAATGCACTCTTAGACATTTATCCCAAAGAAAAGAAATCTGTCTACACAAAAATCTGCACAAGGCTTTTCATAATTTTTATTCATAATAGCAAAAAAGTAGAAACAACACAAGTGTCCATGTATAGCTGAAAGGATAAACCTATGGTACATCCACACAATGGAATACTACTCAGTCCTAAATATAAATGATCTATTGATAGATAACAAGGTTCATGGACCTCAAAAGAATTATGCTGAGTCAAAAAAGTCCAACAGAATGTCTACATATTACATGCTTCTATCTAAATAAAATTCTAGAAAATGCAAACCAATCTATTGTGACAGAAAGTAGATCAGTGGTTGCCTGGGGAATAGAGTGAGGGAGAAATAGAGAACAAGGGGTACAAGGGAACTTATGGGATGATCTAAATGTCTGTTAATCTTGATTGTGGCAATAGTTTCACATGTATATACATGACAAAGTTTATCGTATTGTATATTTTAAGTGTGTGTAGTTTATTGTACTTCAATTATACTTCTTTGAGTAGACTATACACCATGAGAGAGTAAGACATTGAGGAGACTGTCAAATCAGTCAATTTTCTTAGGGGGATCCAAGGGTCTCCCAGCTAGCAGAAGGTCCTGCTCTTTGCCACTAAGTGGAAGAAAGCACATGTAACATGAATGAAAAGGTAGTCAAAATGCTATCTTGCTTATATCTAAGCCATGGGACAATCAAGGCTAACTGATGTATAGTTCCTTGATGATCCATCCTTTAGGGAACACTGTTTTCTTAGGAACAAAAGAGTTGAAAGTCAATTTTATGGGGGATACTAAGGATGAAACTGATCACTGAGAAGCTTTCAGAAGTTAAGGGAACATTCTATAGTTGAGGATCACGAGACTAAGTTGAGTGGATCTGGCATATAGGATCACTTTAGTCCTCTATTAATTCTAATAAATTATTTTTTTATTTTATGAAGTACTGAATAAAATTAACTACTTTCTCTCTGAATCTATGGATTGATCTTCTGGAGAAGCCAATTTATCAAAACTAAGAAAGGGAAGTAATAGTTATCCACAACAGTATTTTCCTGGAAATGCCATTTCTGAGTTTCTGAAAAGCTCAAGACTTTTTGTTAAAATTCTACCCATCCACACTTCCTCTAAAAAGGAAGCTTTTAAGGTATCACACTCCAAATAAATAATTGGAGGTCAAAAACCATGATTGATTTCAGCCATGACCTGAGTGATTTGGGCTATCACTTCTACAGTTTGTAGTCCATTTCCAAAATAAGGAAGAGGGAGAGGACATAAAATTATTACCTTTAATTACTGTGACACATAACAAGTCTTATGGATTATATGAAAATCAGGTGTTATTAATTAGCCAAATGGTTTTTATATAGGTCACTTAACATCTTGGGGTCTCAGTTTCATCATTTGTACAGTGGTCAGGCCCAACTCAAAATAAATCTCTAGGTAACTCTTGTGTTCTAAAATTCTGCAATTATAACTTGAGCTTGTTATAGCAAAACATGAAAAGGTTAAAATTTTCAAGCCACAATGAGATATCACCTCACACCAGTTAGAATGGCTATCATCAACAAGACAAATAATAACAAGTGTTGGAGAGGCTGGGGAGAAAAAGGAACCCTCATACCCTGTTGGTAGGAATGCAGATTGGTGCAGCCACTATGCAAGGCAGTGTGGAGGTTCCTCAAAAAATTAAGAATAGAATTACCATGTGACCCAGCAATCCCTCTCCTGGGTATCTACCCCGAAAATCTGAAAATATTTATCCATAAAGATTTATGTGCTC